TCATCACCCCAAAAGAAACTCGTATCTATGAGCAGTCACTCTTCATTCACCCAATCCCCAGCCCTGGCAACCACTAATCCTCTTTTATCTCTATGATTTGCCTGTTCTGGACATTGCATAAAAATGAAACCATATGATATGTCGCCCTTTGTGGCTGGTGGTATTGATTCTTTAGTGCATCATGTAGATATTACTCAGCTATATCAGTTCACCAAACATTTACTGAATACAAAGTGGACTGAGCTCTGGGAAATGTATATGTATGAGACAGTTCAGGATCCTACAACACCATTTAGTGGGGGAGATAGACTCAGAAACAGTACAACACTTAGTGGTAGGCATGAGGCCACATGCACGGATGGCAGCCCAGATAGGGAGCAGGGCCCCTGGGCCACGTCGAGGATTCGATAGAGCTACAAAGAGACATGGAAAACATTCTGCCCAGCCCACACCAAATGACTAGTAACTTACGTCCTACAGTCTTACAAAGATACCACCCCCCTCTCAAAAGATGGGCCTGTCTTCAGTTTCTCAAATTTGCCAGACTTCTTCCTTCTTCAGTGCCTTCACACATGCCCATCCCTCTGCCTGGAGAACTGCAGGTGCCCTCCTTGCCTCCACTCCTCCACTTGCCCTGGCCAAAGCTTGCTCATTCTTCAGGTCTTCACCTGATGGCCATGTCCTCAGCGAAACTCCTGTTGCAGAATAGCCCAGGCCTCTCTGCTGGGCAAGCTCCCAGACCCCCACCCTACTCCTTCACGGTGCTTCTCACAACTACAGTGCACTGATAAGGCTGTCATTGTTTCGTGTCCATCTTGCCCCTTAGGACTGTCAGCTCCAGGTTTGCAGGGACTTGTCTGTTTTGTTCAGCCTCATGCCCTAGACCTGGCTGTCATGTCTGACACCTGATATATGTGTGGGGCTTGTGTGTTGAATGAATGACATCAATTCTAAGTAAGGAGACGGCAGTATTTTGTATTCCGGGAACACTGAGATATGCTACCATATTTAGGGTGAAGTCAATACTAAGTGGGTGCTTTTCCCCCCATAAAGGCCTACTTGTCCCCAGCTTGTTTTTCTGTCAACAGGATGTGAATGTGATTTTATCAAAATAGCAATAGCTCTCTTGAGGCAATTGATGACAAGCACCCTCATAAAGTAAGTTGTTTTTTGGGTCTTGATAATCACTTTTTTAGTAAATAAAGCCCCAAAATGATCTTGCTGGAAAGGTGGCTTGGATAAATCTTTCATTACCCTTGTTACTTCTGATAACTTCCTGTGGCTCCTGTGATATAACTTTTCACTCATTCCATTAAATGGGAAAGTAGAATTGGCAGGAGCTGCCATTTCCATGCATGCTGCTATACCAGTAAACCTGGGAAACATAGAATGGCCTGATGTCTTTTGGTCAATGATCCACCTAATGTAATGTCATGTTACGGAAAACAGAATGTTGAATGGTGTTATTTGTAGGTTTTGCTCTTTGGGCTGTTCAATAGTCGATCGCTCAAATGTAGATGCTGTGAATCACTTTAGATGTTAGTAAAAATAACACCCCATGGAGCTGTTTTCTGGGGATAGAGGAAAACCAAAGTAACAGTGAAACTCTAAAACCTTGAACTAGAAAAAACCCTGGCACATTTTATAGGCTGATGGCCAGAGGCTTTGTGAGGAGATTCTTCATTTGAGCAACTTCATTTAATTTGTGTTAATTATGCCTTGTGGCCCTGCTCCAGAATTCATGGTACATATTGCTTTACAATTTGTTGAGTGACAAATGTTTTTTTAAGTTCATTAGACGTTTATTTAAAATGCTATGAAAATACGATTATGCAAAAGAGGTGAGAACACTAGACTACTGAGTTGCTATGTGAAGTGAAGGACAGGGAAGATTCAGAAAGCCTCTAGCAGTTCTGGAATGGGATGTGAGAGGAATAGTAAAAGGATAACAGTGATAGACACTATCTTTTGTGTCCCATTTTGACATACACCGTGACGTGACATAATCTTTAGAAGTAATATATTATTAGATTATCATCACAACTCAATGAGGTGGATATTGAAATCTACATTTGAGAGAGAAGGGAACTCAAAGAGAAGAAGTGACCTGACCTGGTAGTGGCTGTGGTGTCTTAGCCTGAGGGGTCTTCAGCGTGGAAGATCCTCAGGTGATGGATAAGGGTAAGGGCTGGTTACTTTCCCACAGTCCCAGATGCCTCTACATGACTAACAGTTCTTCTCTTGGGAAAGAGTCGGGATGGGTTTGCTGTCTGAAGCCCATGGTCTCCTGGTTTCACTGCTGTCTCTAGACTTTCCTCCCCGCCCCTGCTACCTAGATGGCTGCTCACCAGGGCTGAGAAGACACTAATATACATTCTTTGCCTTTCTGCCAGATGGCTGCCACACAATTGCCTTGTGTCCATCAGCTGTTTAGATTTGAACTCTTATGGGGAGGAAGCAGTGACAATTACTTAGTCTCTTCCTTTGATTAGGCAAAATAACCTTTGTTTATAAGTGCTGTTGTATCCCAACCAAATAGATATGACTTATTTGCTAAATGTGCCTTTGGCAGAGTCTCTAAATAATCTCAATGCATGGCCTCAGTAGGCTGACCCATGTGTTCGTTAAACATGTACACCAGAAGGCCACTTAGCCACCATGCACTTGTCCAATGTTCTTTGTGACTGATGAAGTCATGGAGAGGAACAGAGTGGGAAAGGGGCTCAACCAAGGACACACAGATAGACCCTCAGGCTATCTACAGAGTTAGTATGCATCCATTTCCCTCAACAAACTTCATTCTTTCTGCTGTGAGCAAGGTGTTGGCTGAGGTGTGGAGGAAATCAACAGCCAACTCTCCTATAGTTTTGAGTCCAGTGTTAAACATTAAGCAATTGGGTAATTTGTCATTATTTGCCACTATGATTGCAGAGGAAGAGGAGAGGAGTTACAAAAGTGTATACCTCAGAGACTTGGCCTAGTCTGGAGGTCAGGTGTGCCTTCCTTGCACAATGATGTGGAGTTGAGCTTTGAAATATGTACAGAAATTATGGAGGAGGAGGGAGGGGATGGGATGCCCAGGAATCCAAGATAGAAACAGCATGTGTGGAACTCAGAAAGGGGTAAAAGCAGGTGTACTGAGGAACAGAAAGGAAGACCTTGACTTGGTAGAAGGAGTGTGGGGAAAATGACTGGGTCAGCAGGGCCAGGCATGCAACCTTGAATGACACAGGGGCTTCGTTGTTCTCTAAGGGCAGTGGGAAGGAATCAACCAAACTGAAGAATGACTACATTTGTTTACACTTGGAAGAACATCACTGGCTTCTATGCCCAGATTTCAGTCACCAGAGCAGTGACTGGGCCCTTGGTCTGCACACACTCAAGGTTTATGCTGCCATCACAGAAATGTCTAAAATAAAAGAGCTCTTCATTTATTTATATTTCCTTACTTATTTTGCTATTGTAGATCATAAAATGACATGCACTAAATTACTAAATTTATTTTAGAAGACTTAAAGCTACTTTATTATAGAATTTTTTATGTTTTACTATTAGCCTAGTAGAAAGACTGAAGGAGGAGCAATTCTATGAAAGATACTAAAATACAAAAATATTGGCCCCATCCTCAAAAATTATTCTGATAGATCTAGATAGAGTCAGGACACCTACAACAGGATAACAAAAAGATTGATAGGTGACGCACATATCTAAATATTGTGGAGTTTGTTTTCTAAGACCCGTTTCCTTGGCAGCCACTCAAAAGACAGAAGACACAGGGGAATTAGCTTGTGACTTAAACTGAAGTCTCTAGAAAGAATTGCTTACCAAGAAGTATTGGGAACCTTGCCACCCTGAGAACCGATCCTTAGGGAAAACCATTGCTCCTCAGGTGAACCCAGGTAGACATACTCTTCAGCCCATGAACCTGCTACATCCTGAAGGCTGGAGTCTCAGAGAGCCACATGGTTATCAAGCCTGGAATGATCCTGCCAGGTTCAAGCACAGTATCAGGACACAAGGGTTCAAGCTTAATTCTTCAGGGGAAAATGGGGCTGATGTGACCTGACTATGGGAAGTTTGTTCAATTCAACAAGATGATAAATGTGAAAGTGGAAACCCTCCAATGGCAGTTCAGCGTGGCTTAACAAGAGTTCCAGATTTCTTTTGTTAGAGGAGGTTTTCCACTGTGTTGGGATCTTTTTTGCAAGAATAATCCATGGATACCGTTTAAAATGGACATGTACATACATACTAAATGAGGGCTGTTGGAGTGGGCTGTTTTCATGGGGTCTCTATTGGGCACCAGCTGATTGTGCTCTTTGGCAAGGGGCTGTCTGGTGGTGGAGGGCCTATCTTACCTGCAGATATGCCCACCTGACTCATTTGTCCCCTTTTTGACCCCCAACTGGTGAGATCTGTAGCATAGTGGTGGATTGGGCACCCCCACCAGAGGTCTACTGAGTTTGCCAACCCGGGCATATTGTAAAATGTTTTATTCATGTTGTCTGTGACTCAGAAGGTTCACTGCATCCCTGGAAGACCACTTACCTTGAGGCAGAGACCAGCACACCTGTTGGTTTTCTGTGGCACACCAGGTATTTTGCAGAACTCTGGTGGGAACTTGCTAAAGTAAAAAATTACCACCCCCATAATATTTAGATCCTATAGAGATGACTTGAATTCTTCTAGATTTTAGAATTAGCTTTAAAAATCAGGAATACAAATCTGAGTTCATGAAATGCTCAGGTGTGAGTTAAAGAAATAAAGAAAAGACAGAATCAAGTGCTCATTATTTAATGTTTAAATGCTAGAAATGATGGCGGTTTGCAGAGGCTACCAGGATTTATACCTCCAGCATTTCTCTTTCCTTTAGTCTTTCAGAGGGTCCTATAAGCTAACCGGTTACCGTAATCTGTGAGAAAGTGCTTTCTAGAAAATATAACAGGCCATATATGAATGAATAGTAACTCATTTCTCCTGTTCTGCTGTTTCCTGCCTAGATTCCTTTGTGGGCGGAGTCATTGGCCTCATTTTTGCATACATTTGCTACAGGCAGCACTACCCTCCTCTGGCCAACACAGCTTGCCATAAACCCTACGTCAGTCTCCGAGTCCCAACCTCGCTCAAGAAAGAGGAGAGGCCCACAGCCGACAGCGCACCCAGCTTGCCTCTGGAGGGGATTACCGAAGGCCCTGTATGACCAGTGTCCTGAGAAGATGGACACTGAGCCCCAGGCACGCTCTTCCACCCTGGCATCCATAACACAATAGAAGAGGTTTTCTGTAGTGTGTTTCTCATCAGTTGTTTCTCAGAGCTTTCCTTCTTCTGCTCTATTTCACCAATGTTGTTCCTGCTACTTTAAATGTCTCCTTTCAATGTTCTTGAATTTGCAAGGGAAGGACATGAGGAACATTCTTCAAGAGACATGTGGAAGGAGGCTACACAGGTGGGGTTGGGGTGCTTGACCAGTTCCTCTATCTGAAATATTTGCTGTAACAGCCACCTTTCTATGTTTTCATGGTTTTGAAACATAATAAAACCTCCCACCTGGAAGACTTGGTATTGGCTGCCTAGTGCAACAAAAGTCATTCAGAGATACAGTAGCCCACAGCCAGCTTTGTCTATAGGTCATTCCAGGTGCTGATCTTGGAAGCCAAGGCTCAGAAACTTTCTGAGCCATCATATGTCTCTGGGATGGATTTGAAACTCAGAGCTACAGCCTTAGCTTCTCCAGGGCCTTTTGAATCATTGAATCTCGAAGCAAATGAGATGAAAAACTTCATACAAATCCAGTAAACACACAGAGATGCCAAAGTGCATGTGCAGGGGAGGAGATCACTGCAGTTGTCTGAGGGCTCATAGGCACGATATCCTTCTAACTTTCTGGTCTAGATTTATGAGCCACTTATGTATCTCAACCTCTTACAGTTACTGTTTTGGGGAGGAGAGTGTTACTTGGTCCCTCGGCAGGAAGCGGTGTGACTAATCTCATAGATCAGGAAGTCCATGCTTTGGTCCCATCTCCAGAGAATGACTGGGTGATTACTGGAAGTAAGAAACAGCTTCAGGGTGAGAGTTGTTCCTCTTTAGGATCTGAGTTGTGCAGAGCTCTGCTCTAAGCATGCTTAAATAGCAACATACTCCTGTTCCTGTCTAGCAGAAGGTGATTCAGCATTATAGGGCACTGGTAGAAGTATACAAGAACAGAATGGGGAATGTGCTGTATCTCTAGCTTAGCTCTTTGCATTGTTGAATGCAGCCAGTTAATATTGATCTTTCTCAGTCTGAGTATAGAGCACGTTGCTCCTTGGCCAGTTTGTGTTTTCAAAGCAGTGGTCATCCCCTTCATCTAGCTCTGATCAGATGCACCATGGGATTCTTTAGACTCCTGACCTGGATGCTGTGAGATGATGCATTTTTTATGTCCAAGGAGTATCCCTTTCAGCAGTTAATTTAACAGTCTGCATTCTGAAAGACTCGTGTGGGGCTGTATAAATTGTCAGCTGAGCAGTTCTGGGCTGGGTGTGCCAGTTAGAAGCATCAGAATGTCTTTGATCAGCCATTTCTGTGATGGACTTAACACTTGAATGCATGTACCACCTTGTAAAGACCTTGGTCACTGAGCCCCAATGAACCTCTCTCCAGCCATGGTCCCTCCAAATTGACTTTGGCACAGTGCCATGTGATTGTCCCATGAGTGGAGTGGGAGACAGGAGGTCATAAATTGACTTCCATCCAAAGTCAAACCATTGGTTTTTAAAAATTATAGCGGTTACACAGGAAAACAACTTTAAAAATAAATGTGAGATATCTTAAAGGCTAAATCATAACAATTGATAAAACAGTTTTAAATCCAGAGCTAAAATTCACATGAATTAAGCAATATTCTGATTTAACTAGCAATTCTGTAATTTTGAAAAATAAAGCCAGCCAAAAATAGAAGTGCATGAAAAGGATCTTTGGCTACTATTTAAAAAAAAAAAACCTGATGTCGCCATATTCCTATTTGATTATAGTTTTCCCCAGGATCTGCTCACTGGATCTCCCAGCAAGCAGAATGAAAGTTGAAAAGGTTATACTTCAGTTAATGATGACTTAAAATTCTAGATTATGATGTATAAATTTAATATAAATACTTATATTCAAAGATGAATGGCCAGGAAGGATTCTGCAAAGTAATAAAGAACAGAGTATTAATGCTGATAATTACATTGAAAATCCTAAGACAGGCCATGTAAAAGCTTTGATTAAAATATAATTAAAATTACAAAGAATGTAATAACATGAAGCCTATGGCAGGATCCCTAGAAGCCATAATTAACAATGCAAGCCAGTTCACAAAAGGCAGGTGTTTTAGTGAATCCATATGTTTTAATTTCATGCTCTATTAACGCGAAGTAAATATAACATCACAATGCACCAATTAAAGGGCCATGAATGAGGGCATTTGGTCCTCAGCCCCTGATCCTTTTCATATATGAGGGGTAACTAATTCAGTCTCTTTGGCAAAGCAAGGTACTCACAGCGTGAATACTCAGAACTCACCCTGAAAGCTGTAGGCTGTAAGACTTTTCTTCCCTCTCTGGGTAAACCTGCTCGGAGTCCATATTAAAGGTAGGCAGACACAAGGTCAGATACTTTGAGGGACTAGGAAAGAAATGCAGTACATGGTAGATAGGTCAGGGTCATTAGGGAATAGTGGAGACCGTGGAGAACTAAAGAGCACACATCCTGGGGAAATAGCACTGACCCTCTTTAGCTCCAGATTGTTATTGCCAGGTAGAAAGGCAAGCCCAGTGTTGCCCGACCGGATTTTTCAAGAGACGTCAAAACCTACATTTTTACGTAAAATTGCTTGATTTTACATTGGACAACCATTTTGACTGAGGTATTTTAGGATGCAAATAACAAAACCTCCAACTAAAAAAAGCTGAATCAATAGGGGTTTATTAATATTACAAATAGCAAGAAATTGAGAAGTAGGTCGTCTCCAGACCCCCAGCCCTTTCCATCCTCTTGCTCCACCATCTTTAGTATGCCAGTGATACTCCCCTTATGATCACAGAATGACGGCAGCATCCCCAAGAATCACATCCTCATCCAATTATTTTCAAAGTCAGAAAGAGAGGAGCCCAGTCATGGGACAAGATAACTCTACTAGTGGGTCTCTCTTTATCATGTAAAAAAAGGTTCCCTTTTACCCCTGACAAATTTTTTCTTTACCTACATTGGCTAGGACAGTATTACATGGCCACCCCCAGAAGTAAAGGGGGCTTGAAAAAGTGAATATCCAGCATTTTCAGCCATTTTGTAGGAGGTGGATTTCATTTACTTGAGAAAAAGCTTAAAGGATGGCTATTGAGTTAACAGTGAACAGTGTCTGTGACAGCATCTAACTTGTTTAATTAACCAACAGACAAAAATGACACATAATTTTTTTTTTTTTTAGTGTAGAACAGGCAGTTTGCAATCTCTCATAGGGATCATGTGGTTTCTTGGTGGTTTGGAATTTGAGCAGAAAAGCTGACTCTTCTATCAGTCTCTATGTACCTCTATTGAATTGCATTTCTCCTAAAGAGCTTTTCCAACTAAAGCCATGGAGCTTGTTGCCTGGGCATACTCCATCTCCCTGAGGGTTCTGGCACATTCTTTTCCCCAACTCTGCCTTTTTCAAGAGAATGTTCTTTTCTTTAAACTCACCATTCACCTTCCTTTACTTTATCACTGAGAACATTTTCCATTCTTTCCAGTTCAGTGCCAATGAGGCACATCTGCAGTTATCTGCTTCCTGTTTACATCTGGAGGTGACCCCACATGGGAAAGCTCACACGTTACTGGAAAAAAATCCTTACACATAAGGGTAGGGACCCAGGGGCTGTGACTGGCAACCTACCCCAGCCCCTCCTCACCCAAGTCACAAAAGTCTACCTGGTCTAGATGGGTCAATCTTGGTCTTATTCCTAGAAGTTGAGGCAAAGCTGACTTACCTCTTGGAGAAGAGGAACACAAGCTGCTACTTCCAGGGACCCTAGAACCCCTTGTTTCCTGCCTGTCTGAGATTGTTGCTTAGTTCTTCCTTCAGTCCTGTGAGCCACACAGGGCCTGTCAATGTGTGCATTATTTTTCCCTCTAGAGTTGCTTTCTGTTGCTTACAACTGAAACAACTTCTAAAGAAGAACAGTAATGTCATCAGTCCAGTTCTTCAGATGTGGAGAGAGACTGTTTCCAAGGATTTACATTGATGACACTTCAAAATTCTACTCCCAATTTTCAAAACTGAGCTCCTCAAAGGTTATTTCTTCCAACTTGTAAACCCCAGCTGGAAATTTCAGAGAAATGGCAGGTAGTAAATCTAAAGTGGAATGTTCCCCAAGCCTTTTGCCTTTAATGATTCCAAACTTTGGCACATACACAAATGAAACACCCAGCTACAGCAGCTGAAATGTGAGAGAACTAACATGGTGCTTGGATTTTGCTCTTGGGCCCCAGTTTAAAACAAACAAAAAGAAATCACTTTCCTAAGTTTTAAAATGTGAAATGTCAATTCCAGTGTAAAATTTACTAAAACTTTTAAAGATGTGAAGCTTCTTTGGAAAGTATTGTTTCCCTTGCATGTATATTTATGCCTTTAGAACTTTCATGGGCATGGGCTGTCTCTTCTCATTATACCACTCACTTGGGGGCACATGTACCTACTTTGGTCAAGCAGAACTGTTAACATATTGGAAAATGGTCTTGATAACCATCACCATCCTAGGACAAAGGAATGTAGTCAATTAGGATTAATCCTTCAATGTAATTTGCTCTATTGTTGCTGTCTAGGGAGTCGAGAAAATTTAAAACCAGAATTCCAGAAGCAGTTTTTTGGGGTTTGTTGTTGTTTGGTGGTGGTGGGGAGTGGTCTGTGAGTGTGAGGGGAGAAGAAATGAAGAGATGGCCTTATACAACAGTGTTTCTCAAAGATAGTTTCACAGAACTGGTCTGGCTTTGCAAAAATACATTACAATACAGGTATGTTGAACAATTTCTAAATTCCCCTCTTAGGGATCCAAAATATACAATAACATTTTAAAGTTTGTGAAAAGTCCTGCAGTCAAAACAGACTGGAAACACTGCTTTTCATCCCTTGATGACACCTCTTGACATTGTTGTTTGGTGTGATGCTGCTATGACTACCTGTCAGTAGATTTCTGCAAATGTGCAAACATAAGTGTGCTTCCCAAAGACAATGAGAGTAATATCTTACACAATGGCTGCTGTGTGGTGAGTGAACCTTGGGGATGGCCTTTCAACTGATGAGTCCTCTCTTCTTGCTTTGCTCCAGAAAGATCCTCAGACTCACACAGACCACAGTGACAGATGCTCTGAGGGAAGTCTCACACTCTATGATGCTAAATACCTACTTTGTCCTGATAAAGCACTCATGGTGCTTGGACATCAGTAGCTGTCTACCCCCCTAGGTACTGCCACAGTTCTGCCACTTAACTTTGAGCAAATGTCTCCACACCCACGAGCCTCAGTGACTGCATCTACAACATGTGAATAACATCAACATTATGGGATAGTT